TAGCTCCTGAGCTACAGGTTGGAAACGCCTGCTCTACCTGGTGGTGACCTATGCACTTATGTGAACACGATTTGCACAGGCGCAGTCTAGTTGCCTGTACATAAAAATTATTTTAAAATTGTGATTGATTTTTTAATTTGTTGTAATTGTCCCTTAATATTCTTCTATTAAAGGTGAGGTGTTGGGTTCACTTCCTGCTTGTGTCCATAGAGATGTTATTACTTTTCTTGGAAAATATGTGACTGAACAACAATTAATTGCATTTTTCTTTCTTTTTCCCCTTTTTTTTGATCAAACAAGTGAAAGCAACAATATCTTCATCTAGATAAACAAGTGGTGGTGACTATGAAAATATGACACAATGATCTTTCTGGTACTTGGGAAAAATTAAGATGTGGAGCCCATGGGGTAGATTATATTCTTCTGTAATTCAGATGAATTCTGATGTTTTGAGGTGACTTTGCAGTGGTGTAGCGTAGTTGCGCAGGGTCTAGGTGCAAGATTTGGCGCTGGGGCCCCCCAGGCCAAAAAAGTGGCCCTTATGCACATACTGTACCTCTTTCATATTAGGAATCAGTCCTCTGACCTAGGGGTTGGGAGACCACTACTCTAACCACTCAACCTGCCATCACACACCAGTAGAGGAAAAACAAAACAAAAAACATGCACAATGAAAAAAGGCAGACTATTTTGGGGCTAAGAGTTACATATGGTGGGGCTTTAAGGTGTATATAACTTAGAACACAATTACTTGCATTGGAGCAGAGGACAATTCCATGATGACACGCTGTCAAGCATTTCTCAGTCCTGAAGGGTAGGGCCTCAGCATGCAGACTCAAACATGCATGGATGAAGCAAAGCCTATTATAACACAATTTCTATGTTCTCTGTCACGTGAAAGCATTCAAATGTCAGAGATGGCATGTTGAAAATTGTGCATTATGTCTTCAAAACGTTAACTGAACCTTTTACTTAAAATATGTTTGTGATTGAGCTTGCTATGTGTTTTGTCTCTAATCTGCCAGTCTGTGGTTGTGGATGAAGTGCGAGTGATGCTGGAGACTATTAGGTCTGTAAAAAGAGGCTTGCTTGTCTTCTCCTATTCCACACAGCTCATTTATGTTGCAGATGAAACCATTTCTTTCAAATGGAGGGATACTGTGGCTTGGTCTGAGCTGCTCTTTAAGGGAAAGCTCTGAGTGAAAAGCATGTAAAGAAACTACTTAGAAGAAGACATCGGGAAGCAGTGGTTTCCATTCAAAACAATGTGCCTGCCACACACAACATGCAACTCATGTGGTCCATATGTACATGTGTCACTTTGGAAGTTAAATACATACTTAAATAATAGAAAGATTTACAATAGAATGTTTGCTATTTTATTGTTTTTAGTCCTATATAAAACAGTCATACAAAAGTTGTTATTAGGAAGAGGTCGATAAGCTCTTAAACTTGCTACAAATTTTTGCCTACAATGTCTTTTTTGAGTTTCCTTCTAATTGTATTGATCATAAATACATTATTTGACAGTACTGAAGTTTCTTTAAACGAATAGTCCTTTTTAACAGTAGTGTGTTGGGAGACAATGAATTGCACATAAAAACTGAATCTAAAACAGAAACAATTAAATATATGTTTTTTGGGGTAGACTTCACCTACCCTTGTATCTCCCCTTGATAAGGACAACAGTGTCTTGTTCAGTCACGTTCTACAGCAGGCTTTAACACAGACCGCTGGAGGGCAGCGCATCATGTACACAGTCAGACTGCACTGACAGCAGCAGACACGGAGAGTCTGACTGACTGACACAGAGCTATGTTGGGTAGATACACATGTCTAAGAACAATGTAACTGTACCTACAAAAGTAATACTTTGAGCTGCACTTTCTCACCGTTTCGCTCCTCCCAGGCTTATACTTGTTCAAACAACAAATAACTGACACAAGTCAGCCGTTCATTCCAGGGCTGCTTTATCCTCCTTTTCTTTGATCTTCCGTTTGTTCTTGACTTTAGCCAAAACAAACATCCAAAGTGTCACATGTGTGATGAAACTAATGAACAAAGCCAATAATAAAACGATAAATGATGGCTGCACATAAATTATGTTATTTTCCCTGTATGGGTTTCTTGGGTTGATCTGTTGCCTTCAAACTTCACACATTTTAAATCACTGTTAAAAAAAAAAAAAAAATTCTCACTGGATTGGCTTTTACATATCATTTAGTAAAAATGCATGGTTTTGTAGGCAGTTGGATTCCCTGATACAGTTAACAATCTGCCTCCATAATATAAAACTTCGATTGTTATAAGTGCATGTGAGTAGAGAGAGCTATAGACCTATACTACTACTTATTATGCGTCTCCCTTTCCCAACATTCTTGCATTCAAAAGAAACGTGTACTAGTGCAGAATCAACTCTAGAGGGCGCCAGCAGCTCATTTAAACCTCACCTGTCGGTTACATGTAATGCAATGCAAGTTGAAACAATTTGAATTAAAAAGGCCAAATAAATGTGTAGACGTATTTATGTAGGCCTATGGCTGATCAGCAACACAGTCACAGGTTATTTGTTTGTTACTTTTGTGCATTTGGCGCACACGCATCCAGGACACTCTTTGGAAAGAGATTTTTAATTTCAGTGAGGTTCTCCTGGTTATATAAAAGTGAAATAAACAAAGAAAAAATGCAGACTCTAATATAACCAAGGCCTGCATTTTTAGATTGCATATATGCTGAAAATTGTATTCAAGGAACCGCCTTGAGGTATTACTGCATTAAACTGATGTGAAAATTTGTGCATCAGTAACTGCGAGTCGTTAATGGAAAAGGGAAGAAGAACTTTCTTTTCTTTTTTATCTGAAACCTCAGGAATTCAAATGTCAACCACAAACATAAGTCATGTCCTGAGCTGCCATTGAATGCATCTCTTCTATAGGAACCTTAATTGAGGCGTATGATTCCATGTTGTCTGTGGAACAAGTAAGCGAAATTTTATTTGAGAATGATGCTTATTAGTAGGCTAAACGATGATTCCACTAGATATGCGCTCTCACGCACACACGATCCTTCCTGTGCGCATAGGTGAATTACGCATCTCGAACAACAAATCGTGTTAGAACATATGCCCCGGGTTAATGATAAAGAAAAAAACGGTTGAGGGTAAACACTCCGTCAAAACACATGTTTTGTTTAACGAAACACCCTGCTACTCCCATTCCGCACTTAATTGACCCAATGAGGGCTTAGCCTACACGAGACAAGGATTAGCGATATAATGTAGCCTAATGGTCCTGGCTAAAGATGACTCCTTGCAGTTTGCTCTTTGAACAATTTGTAAGCATTGTTGAAAATTAATTATCAGTCTGGGAAGTCTTTCTTTTTACTTTTAGCCCTAATTAGGTTATGCTTCTACCATGAGTCAGAACAGGCAAATCGAGGCAACAGGTCTAATTTAAATCTAAGTTTAGCTTCAGTAAGATCTACTTTCGGCTGCATTAAATTTGACTTTTAAAAGTTGTTCTCAAAACAAAGGCAAATCAAGAAAGAAAGTGGCTTTCCCTTTATTGCCACTAGATGGTGCATTTGCACAAGAAATTCAGCCTACAGCGACTATCGGGCACAGCAAACCTACACCGGCCCAACAAAAGTCTTTAGATATTTTTGCTTAGTTGTGTGGTTTTGAGACTATTATGAACTAATTGGCTGTGCTGAGACTTTAACCTTTTTGTGTTGATCGACACTGAACGTGCATTGTTTCGAAACTACTGCACAAAAAGAATCCAATAGATGCACAGGTAGGCTTTAGTTTCTCTAGACGTGGACTAAAGCATTGGCCATTACGAGCTATAGGAAACGTTTTCTCATAGCAGCCTTACCATAAAATGAAGCGTTTTATGAGTGGTAGGTCTACACAGACAGGAGTGGAACTGAGACCAAATGTGTGCGCCTCACACCTCAGGTGACCTCTGTTCTGAGTAACGCTAGCCTATGTTTTTTTTTTTTTTTTTTTTTTTTTTGCTTTCAAGTATGACTTTATAGCCTAAGTCATTCTATGCACAGCAATGAGGCTACACGTTGCTTTATCATAGATCTGCCCTGAGCTCTTATCAAAACAGCCTCGCGTGGCCCCTTGGGGGCGTCATCCTAGTGTTAATACAGACCCATCGTCGCCTTTCGTGCAATAAAACGAAAGATAGGGCCGTGGAGGCGCCAGGTGAGCAATAAGACACTCATATTGAGACAGCTTGTGTCATTTCTATATCTATTCTCCAGCGACAGGTAGCTACACATTAACCAGACAATACACAAATAAAGATATGACTTTGATAAACTCGCGACACGAAGAGTTATAAAACAATAAGCAAGTTGTTTCTGTTGCTTTGCGGCAGGTCATGTGTACGGAACACAAGACAAATTCCACAGAATACAATTCAAGAGATTAGTTGTTTCCCCAATTCTTTTTTAGTCCACTCACCTAAACACAATAAATGCTAGAGAATTATTTCCAAATATCTGTGTCTGTGTTTCATAGAAGGATAAGTGGGGAGTTTATTAATAATTCTAATTATGACTGAAACCAAACTACAACCTATTTAAACCAATCTGCAAGACAGCAGGTCGTAGGGAATCCTCTTCAAACACTATAGGACCATAGGGCATTTTTTCCCCTGGGAGTTGCTTTTAATTGTTCTTTCAAAAAATAAACACAGATTAACTGCCCACAGTGACATTTGAATGTTTTATTGAAACGTTCAAGATCACGAGAGATGTAAACTAGACATAAATCCGAAGCAACGTAACCAATCATGAAAACTTAAGAACCCTTCCTTTTATTTTAATTATGCGGCATATTTGCCTAGTTTGGAAAAAAAAAAAAAAATTATATATATATATATATATATATATATATATATATATATATATATATATATATATATATATATATATATATATATATATATATATATATATATATATATATATATATATATATAGTGCGCTTTGACCTGATATTCAACGTTTATTTTCTGAAGCCATTGGTGCAGTGCGTTCTCGCCTTTTGAAAACAGTAGCACTTTACGCACAAGAACACGTGAAAACACAATGGCACACGAGAGTGAGAACATTTAAGGGGATTCAAGTCCATTTTAAAAAGATGAGGGAATAAATGCAAGTGGCAACATAAGAAAAATATAACCCCACAAATGATCTTTACACAGGTAGGTAGGCCTATTGGCTATATTAACAATAAATTAAACTGATCCCTAAAAACATACTACTTGTTGTATTTACACGCAATAACAATATGAAATAATTACATAAATATTTTATTTATCCTTATGTACACCAATATTCAATACTTCATTTACTCTTACTCTCTTTGTTTATTGTATGCTTCCCTTTGCATTAGACGCGTGCGAGGGCTACGAGTTTAGTCACCAATTAGAAATAAAAAAGGATACAATATTTTGAAAGTAATATGGTAATTGTAAAGTTTAAGGGCATGCAGCGTTTTGGCCAGTTAGGCCTACCCGCGAATAACGCGCGTCTTATGCCAATGAAAATACAGCAGTGTTTAAATGTAGGACCAACGCTTGTACAAATGAATGCATATACAACACAACCGATTTACGTTCAGATCTGAAGGACAAAGCAGCAGGTTCACCCGAACAAGTCGTAGGTCATTGACATCCAATACTTATATGGTATTCAAATGACAAGAAACGTGTGGTTTAATTTAACAAAACAAATCATAAACATAGCAAGTGTGTTTAACCAAAGTGCATTTCAGAAAATAAAACAGTTAATAGTTTGTTTTTAACTGGTATTCATCTAAATATGTCCAAAAATCTTCATCTTCCAAAGCAACATCAAAACATAATTGGTTTTCCATCAATGGACCCTATGGAGAACCACTTCTGGGCCGGTCCTGACTGGAGTCCAGGCCACTGACCAAACGCTGGATGCTTTGCAGCTCGTTTGCAGCGTCTTTCTCTGATGATAGAGTTTTTGGAGACAATGACACTGAGCCAGAAGAGATAGTGGATGAATGACTGGTTACTTCTGAAGTAGAGTCCAGCGTCACTGCAGACACGGGGCTGCTGGCTTTGAGCTCGGAGCCTCCGCTGGCCATAGAGGGTATAGCCGTGGTGAGTAGCGTGCTGTCCGGCGTTGTCATGGGCAGCGAGTAAGGACTATACCTGAGTCTAGGTCGTACTGCGTTCAGAAGTGGATGTCTATGCACAGAAGAAGAGGCTGCAGAAGAGGCCGCGGCCGCAGCAGCCATGTATGTGTATGGATAGGGGAACAGACCACCAAACGGAGACATAGCCAGGCCCTGAAATACACACATAAATATATTTATAAACGTACAAGTACAAAAAAGCAAATACATTATAGGAACAGCCAACGCAATTAACCTATTATCTCTTGACCTACACGTGTCGGTATTATTCGGGCAAAATCGTAACGCTGCATGGATAGATGTTTTTTTTTGTTTTGTTTGTTTTTTGTTTTGTTTTGTTTTTGTTTTGTTTTGTTTTTGTTTCCAAAAACGTTTACAGCAGAATAATTTTTGTACGTGCATTATTTTTTACTTTGAGAACAGACTGAACTGACAGACAAGTTTTATTAACGCAACACACTTCTTATAGTGATTCGTTGGAATACTGTGTAAACACAGCTTTTAATAACATTAACACAAGGTTTAACGCCTCTGCGTGTTTCCTTAAATAGTCAAATGTGTAGCCATGAGCATAACTTCTAAACCCATATGTGCACATGGTCACAGAAAACGCACAGAGTTTTCTTGTACCAACCCAAATTACAATGCTTGGACTGGGGCCACTATTAAATACCTAACAGGTAGCTCTGAGGCCACATAGCATGTGATATTACAGGAACTGGTTTTACCTGTGATGCCAAGACGTGTTGTTGCAGATGGAATGGCAGGCCTGGTGTTCCTGTCAGGCTTTGTGGGGGAGAAGCCATGCTGGTTGTGTCCATGGTACTCACTCCTGCTGAAGATACAGCTGCCAGGAGGGGCCCCATGCCCGCAGCCATATTTGAGAACGCGCTTCCCATGTTGAACTGACCCGGGTGCAAGAGAAACGGGTGTGCGTTGCCGAGGTGATTAAAGAATTGCTGTCCTGTTAGACCAGGGGGAAATCCAAAGTTATGCAAGTGCCCGTGGCCCAAGTGCGAATTGTCGGTCTGAACGGTTAAAGGCATAAAGCTGTCCTTCAAAGAGCGGCACTCGTCTGTTTTGGACTGCTCTAGATTGGGGCTTTTGATGTCCTCTGCGGAGCGCGTAGTGCTGGAGATGACCGTGACAGGGCTCTGTCTAGAATCAGCCTGACTTTTCTCAGTTCTGGAGCCGGCATCGCGCGCTCTGCTGCTGGAGTCACTGTTACTAAAAGGGTTGCACTTGGCTGGGCTTGCCTCATGCTCCTTCCCGTCTTCCGTGGTAGTGGAAATCTTATTAGAGTCGGGGCCATCTTTGAGATGTCCGTCTTTGCTATCGTCATCACTGTCTTCATCGCTGTCACCGAAATCTAAAAATAAATGGCAGATTATAATTATGACCCTCTGAGACAGGAGAGGTTGCCTACTCCTAGTTGGGTGATTGGAATGATCCCGACAAACACTTTGCATTAAGTGGAATAAAATTTAACTTCGCGATTGATGATGTAAATGAATGACGTGAGGGTGAGATTTTTGTCACTTGTTAACAAAATAAACAAGCCAAGATCACATTGCACTTGTTCTGGTTGGTGCAAGCTGAATATAGAGTTTGAGCGCATACCTTTAACATGTGGGGGGCCCACAGTGGACACGGCGGGAGACGATGCCTGGCCAAAACACTTAAAAGACGGCTGTTCTCCTGAGGAGTCGTCTGATGCACCGTTGTCCTTTTTCTGCTGGTCCTCATAGGAGCGCATGGACTGCAAGGCCAGCTGTTTCCTGTGCACAAGGACGCACATTATTAAGCACCCCCCAACCCAAACACACAGACTGATGTGGGGCGTAAAGACAGATGCTGCAGGTGAGAACACGAAGTCAGGGGCGTTTACGAACCTTTTACATGGGCTACATCAATATTATGTCATAACGAGGCTACCTGCGTCAAGCCTATATGTTCCTTAAAGTCACAACTTTCCAAGCAAATAAAGATATGTATACTTCGTTTGGTCGTTCTTTTTTCAACTTACCTTTTTTCTCGTCTGCCATTGCCAGTGTCCCGAAATCCTTTCGCAAACGGATTATGATCAATTTTGAGCTGAGTTATCTGAAATGAACAAACACAAATACTTATGAGCCTACTTTTTTAAATGATGAAGAAATGTGAAGCAATCTTGTGGGCTAAAACGCGCGAGATTTTACACCAGCAAACGTAATACAGTTTAGTAATTTTCTTTCTTTTGAAACTTTTCTTCAGCATCTATTGAAATTTGCGGACGACCCATATAACGTCCCTGTCACCCATGCCTCTGTGCGCACATGTAGCCCTTCATAATTTCACATCTGATGACGAAGGTTGACAGTGCAGTTAGACACCAGCAAAAAGGTCTGCACACTTTCTTTTTCTCCATTCAAGCGTGCAGTGTTTGCCCCTCTTTCCCTCCACTTATACAGAGGCATAGCAACACAGTCTGGGTTTGCGCCAAATCCTTTCCACGTGATTAAATAAAAGCAAGGTATCTAGCCTGCCATTACCTTAGAAATATGAATTGCTGAATAGGCAATATCATCCCTTTAGTAAAACCCACTCAAAGCCTGCAACAAACGTGACGTCTTTCACAATTTATTTGATAAAAAATTGCGTAGAGGAGACACGAAAATCAGAGAAGGGCAAAACGTGGATTATTCATCTACCAGAACGCGCCAAAAGCGCACAGGTTATGGTCGTTCATACCTTGTCATTTTGATACGCAGTCACTGCGATGAAGTCAGTCTCTGGGAATACGTACGTTCTGAACGTACTGTAGGGCAATTTGAGGATATCATTAGCCCGTACAATGTGAAAGCGCGGCTGGTATTTATGCATAGAGTTAAGGATGGTCTGTAAAACACAAAAAGAACACACTCATTAAGTAATAGTCCGTGTGGTCTTCTATGTAGCATTTACATTAGCATGGTTGTTGTTGCACATTAAATCCAAGATTATATAGGATAAACCCAAATCCACTTAAATTAATTAATTCCAATCTATACCGCACAAAGAGGAAGTATAGCACCTTGATCAGACAGTGCGCAAAATAACTTTGTCTCTTTATCTTAACAGATTTACATTATGTTTGAAAGTGTGTTGTTCTGTGAATAATGAGAAACACATCTACACCTTAAATACACAACAATTCATAACGTTTTGTTATCAATATGAATTATGAAATCACAACATTTCATTTGACCTACTATTTGCACTGGTTAGGCTTAATAATGACAGTAAAAAAACATGTAATAATGTGATAAAGATGATAAATAGAAAATTGACATACATTAGTGGAACTTACAAATCCATGCTTGTCTGAGATGTTGTTAGTCAGCTTGAGTTTGTGAAAATTGACAACTTTGGACATCCACTGCTCTCCAGTGGCCGGGCTATCTGGATGAATGTACATCCTTTTTGGCATCTCGGGGTCGGCCTTTCCTGCCACCATCCAGCGAGAGTTGTGGAACTTGTACCTGCAGTCGTCTGCTGCTACTATATCCATTAGCAAAATGTATTTGGCTTTTTTGTCCAGCCCCGTGCAGCGAACTTTGAATGGAGGGAACATTCGCCTGTGACAAAAGGAAACTGTATGAGTTTTCTGTCAGACAAAATAATTTGTGTCAAAAATGTTATGAGTCCAGTCCTGGCAAATAATTAAATTAAATCCAACAATTCTCCTACACTCACAATTAGAAATTTCGCACTTTTATTTCTCTCTATTTTTGGGCTACTACAAATGCACACAGGCAAAGCTTCAGTTTGTAGTGGGAACATTTTATGTTTTGCTGTTGTGCAATTTAAAAACGATCCTACACTGACGAGGTTTCCAAAAAAGTCACGATTTTTTTTATTTCGTTTTAACATGTTTTAGCCCTTTTATTCCAAATGGTTATTTTTATGGCGTGAAATATAATTTACTATTGACTCTTTAAATCTTATTTAGCTAATTCTAACACCACTAAGAATTCACATTTTCTACACCTACGCCTTTTTAAAAATATATATTTATTATTTGATACCTGTTGTCTTGGATTTGGACTATAACGGCTTAACTAAGCAATTATTTTTAAAGCTTTCCGTCAATTTGTTTAAATTGGTCTAAATTTATAGCCATGGCATGTGAAGCGAAATATAAATTGTGCTCACATTACGGACATGGATTAAGAAGTAGTAGGCCCATTAAGAGTAAAAGTAACAAAACTGCCACACCACATCTTAAATACTATTAAAATATAACATGTAGTATAACTTGATCAAATGTAAACAAAATAGTCTTTTGTTTTCGGCACACACACACACACACTCGCTTTCTCTCTCTCTCTCTCTCTCTCTCACACACACACACACACACACACACACACCTTCCGGATTTGGTGATCACCATCTCAGTGCCTTTCTTGTGGAACAGCTCCCAAAGCTCCTTCGCTTCCAGATGCACTTTGGGGTCGTCTTCCACCTCCTCTTCGGGCTCCAAAGTCTTGAGGGGCCGGAGGTGTGCAGTGGCAGCTTGGTGTCCCAGAGAGGAGAAGTGTAGGCCGCTTTCTGCGGCGCCCATCAGCTGGTCCATGATTGGCTTTCCTAGTGCGCCCGGCAGAGACAGGGAACCGCTGGGAGGCAGCGCCAGCGCCGGGAAGAAAGGAGGCTGGTGACCAAGCATTGCACTCATGGCAAATTCTGGACCCCGGTGAGGTATAAATGGGTGATATGCCATATTTGATCCCTGTATGACTGGATCTCTCATCAGGAAGTTCATCCAGGAGCAGTCAATAAATGGAGACGTCGGTGTAGTCTTGATAGAATGTTTCTACACCAGAGTAGGTGGCAAGCACACACGATACAAATGATTATGAATTAAAAGAAAATAATGTCTTCCTTCTTGAATGTTGCAAAAACTCGTATCCACTTTTGAAAAGTACGCGCTGTAAATATCTGCTGTGACCTTGTCAAATTTACAAGTGTCCAGAGTGATTGTCAAAAGTGCTCTCCATTAATCTCGGTAAGGCAAAGGCAGTTCTCATTCGAGGCTGGACACCTTTCAGTGTCTCTGGCTGCGTCGTGAACATGAATCGAATTTAACCAACTTGGACTGGTCGCTCAATTAGCTGCGATGTATTCGTCCTCCTCCTCGCTGTTTACAAAACAGGCATTCCTGCTAAAATGCCCAGCTTCTTATTGGCCCGTGTCCGGTAGCGAAGGCGACGTGTTGAAATATTTCGATAGCGCCGAATAATCCCCAGCCTGTAACTTGCTGCGGAGAAGTGCCCTCACCCTCTCTCACACACGCGCGCGCTGTTGTCCTGCTCCGAGCAGAGTGCGCGCACACATTTCAGAAGAGGACGTGTGCAGAGAAGGGAGTCCGCTGACGGCCAGAGAGAGAGGTGGTAAGGTCCCAGCTCCGTGATTTTCCTAGCGCCTCTGTGGCCCATTGGGCTTCATACTGTATGGATGTGTTGCGTGTTACGAGCAGCAGCAGCGCTACGTTTGATTGGCTCTTTGACGCTTTCGGACCAATTGTGTGGTTGCGTAGGCGTGGTTTTAACAGGTCGGGTGGAGGGGACAGGCTTCAGACTTATAAAAAGGTGTTTGGAAACTCAAAAGGGTTTGCCGTGAAACACCACCCTACCGAAGTCTCTGTTGTGTGAATATGTCAACATCGTTAGAGAAGTTGCGCTCTCGGCCACTCAAAGCCAGCGAGGGAGAGAGCGAGTGAGGCGCGAGAGGAGGCTTCTTTTAGTGGGAAGGTCCGCTCTCTTGCGCTGCCTCTGCACGGCAAACGTCCCATTCTCACATATCAAATAGCATATTCTTGTTGCACCAGAGTGGTTACATTATTCTGAACTTTTCTAAATCACTAAGACTGACAAATCGCAGCCTTGTTTTTATAGCGTGATTTTCGTTTTGTTGCTGGTGGTGTGTTTCTGTGAGATGGCTCCTTACTCATGCGTTTTTGTTTGATCTGGCACATCATCCGCTTTAAGTCATCTAAAATGTTTCATTGGTTTGTTTATGATTTTGTATAGCGAGCTCTTGGGGTCGACCAAGTTACATTTAGCCTGGATCTAAAAGTAGTCCCTAATTAAGAAACCTCAGCCTATACGGGCGTAAAATATTTCGCACTTGTTTATTAGCCCAACTGTTATTAGCGCGCATTTGAATGAAGGGCCTGGATTTAAATGATTGTTTTTACATTTTTAATCAGAGCATTTACAGCTTTACGGAAATGAAAATTTTATTCCCATTATTTATGCATAGACCTATTGATCATTACAATGCTTAAAACGGTTTCATTACTCCCTAGGTGAAAACGTCTTCGCACAAAAGGATTCAGACCAGACGTTTTCAGTGGGCCTTAAAATGTCACTTAACCCCAGATTCACAAGTAAACTAGAGACAGCTATGGCTTCGCAAACACTGACCATCCATTGTAAGAAGGCTACCTGTGGGAATTCAAGACAGTGGCACTGGAATCATTAGAAGAAGCCACTAATTTATCACATACTATTTATATTAAAAACAAGCCAATAAGAGTTGTGAATTTTATCTTTATTTTTATACACATGGTTCTGCCGCTGTTCAGTGTTGTTTGTGTAACCTGCTCAATAAGATTTTAAAGATTGTTTTGAGAGTAAATTAGTTTATTAAGTTTCCTGAATACCATGCTAATTTGTTTAAACCAAATGTAACTAATTTTGACTATATGCATATATGTCAATGTGTACTTTTTCTGAGCGTCATAGTGTATTTTTTATATCTGGTGTGTGTGTGTGTGTGTGTGCTGATTGGCAATTAGGAGAGAGGAGGGGAAATTATAGTTGCAGCAGTACATTTTAGAAGTGCCTAAATAATATTGATTTGTTGCTTTCTTCTTGCATTTTTGTGGCCTTTTCGTGGGGTCAGTCTTGTGTCAATGACTGACTTATACTCTTCTTTAAACACACTGACCCATTAGCAGCACATTTCAATTTAGTGGAAGGTGTCATCAAATAGGGAGCAGTGTTGACACGGCAGGAGCCTCTCTGTCCAGGCCAAGCTGGCTTCATTACCTTAAGCAAGTCCCAAAATGGTCAATATGCTGTATAAACTTTTACAGGGTTAGGGCTCTCAGGGACTTGGAGTGGTTGTAAAAAGGGCCGAGCTGACACAACTAATAGATGAAACTAACTTTGTCAGCAATTATTCATCAATGGAGATTGCATTCCAATTTCAAAGGAGCAGTATTTTAGGCTATATAGTGCTATAAAGATCACCAAAATATTTACCAGTGCATTGCTGTCTTTCCTTTGCTATCCAGCCTCATCAATAAATATCTTTGAGAACCACCAGAAAACAATGATAACCTTTTTGTTAGAAGAGAGGTATAGGTTATGGTCTATGATGCCTCTGAACTGGCAACACACAACAGCCACACTGTTGAGGTTCATTAAGCAGCGCTTCAAAGACATTCCTGGAATTGATCATGGAGATGCAAGTGATGTAATGTATGCTGTCCTGTTTATTTGCAGATTGTTAATGATAAGCATGGACAGACTTGGTGGCACCGCGACTGAATGGAGCAAATTGTCTTGTGAAAGTCATCAGTCCTGACAAATCATGATAGGGAAAGGAAACATCACAAGATGAGTATATTCTGCTACTATAATCAGTTCAAACCTCATTAGAAATGTCCCGACGCAAAGGAAATGGGTGATGTTCAATTAATGATCTAATGACTTTCAAAAAGCAGACCAGTTTCCTCAGTAATTTAGGATTTGACCTGGTGATGCTGAATTGCACCCATTGCAGTGACTAAATAGATGTGTGGGTTATTATGGTCCAATAAACAGCTGAGAAGCAAATTTTTAAAAGGTGGTGCTAAAAAGGTTTATTTGTTTTTACCACTGAATGCCAATAAAGAAAAGAAATATATAAAAAATGCATATTTTAAGTATACCATTTTGACATAAGTAGTGTATAAACACAGGTGGCTATTATATATATATATATATATATATATATATATATATATATATATATATATATATATATATATATATATATATATATATATATATATATATATATCCCATTGTTTTTCTTTGAGTAATACCCTGAGAATGAGGTGAATCTGAGGGTGAGTTGAAGGCACTTCAACTCACCCTCCATTTTAGCCTCCATGACATTGACATTGACTTTGTAGTGCTTTACTTCACAGTCTCACAAAGTATATGGTTTTCCATTGAGCCCAAAGCCCAGAACTGGCTCTTTTAAGAGGGCTAAGACTGTGCATTCCTGTGCTGAGGGAATCATGGGCTGAAGGGTTAGGGTGGCTTCTCTCTAGAGGTTAAGTGGGATAAGTGTGTGGCTCATGTCAACCCCACTACCCCCCAATAGTTTCTGGAAAATTTGCAGTGGGGTCAGATTGGATTACTGTGTTTTGGTATTTACATAGAGACAGAAGGCTTTGAAATGGAAAACCATAGGCGGAAAAGCAAGTGCCATGCTGTCTGAAAGGCCTGGTAAAGGAAACCAGAGTTGATGTCTATTGACGAGATGGTGAATACATGTCTTTTATGTCTTTCGGCCCAACAATCAGAAATGTAGTTACTTAGCTGACAATTGATGTAAATGGATCAAGTGCAATGCAGGTTTTTAAAGTAAATCCAAGTTAAGTATGTGGGAGACATGCAACAGGAAATGATGAGGTTTCAGGCATCGTGCTCCTGCTCACACATTCACCACATCAGAGTTTGGCCCATGACTTTGAGGCACTTCTGTAAATGCACTAAAGGAATTTAGCAGTGCGGTTCTGTTACATAAACAGCGATATAGTCCATCTCTAAACGACCTTGTAAAAACTCACTTAGGTGTCAGTTCACCCTCCAGGTAAGCTGTGGTGTCTTGTATTAGCCTGGGGGTTTCTGTCATTTTTTCTTCTGTTGGACCATGCTGCAAACCTGCTGGGATAGGTTTTTGCTGTTATTTTGGGAAAGATTCGGCAGCCACTCCCCACAGGTGCAGAGTGCAGGCCTGAGCCTATAATCTCCTCTTTCACAGAGGATCTCACTGCAAACACCTTCACTAGCTCTGCAACACTGTGTGGGTAGTGTATCCTGGTTTGTAGTCATTATGATGACATTAATTTAGTGTAAAACTATGATCTAAAAAAACCCAAAACGCTATGATATTAGATTTACGCGGCATATTTTTTTTCTAATAAAAGTTCACTAAAATGAACAAATGTAATGTATATAACAAATATTTTATAGGTGCAGGTTTTTGGTTTTTTTAAACGCTTATTTTTACGCTAAAACAATGTTTATCTTTCAAAGCTTAGTAGAAGTAATTTATGCTTATTAAGCGTTTATTCCTTTTGGAGTGGCCATTTCGCTTCTCTTCGCTTTTTTTTTTTTTTTTTTTTTTTTTTTTTTTTAATCTCCGTGTCTCAGGGTTATTTGTCTTCGCTGTTCCCCGTACTTTTAACCCTCGCTTATGAGTGAGTGACTTCACCATTCAATAGTGAGAACTATAACCTACGACCGAGTACGCGCAGTGCTCAAGTGGCGGCAAAGTTTGAGTGCAGTAAATTGATTATTTCCCACGTGTTTCACGGTGAGGCGCACGGACCCATCCATCAATTGAGGCGTACACGTCACGAGCTAAATGTTGGCTACCCCTAGGTGACCCGAGGCCACTATACAGACAGCCTATCTCAGTGTATCTTTACACGATTTAAAAGTAAAACTGTTCTTTTATGATGGTGTTCATGCTATATCTCTGCGTGAGGTGCATAATATGGTTAAGGCGTGATTCTTTTGAACATCACGGCCTTTTCTTTCCCTTAGATTAGTGCCTTGGGTGTGTCAAGCGTTTTATATACTCTAATCTGTGTGAGTCAAATTTGATTCACTACAGGTCTACGTACCTTTCCATAATCCATGACCTCTCTTTTTTTGTACCTGCTATTTATTTTCTACTTTACAACTTCAAATTGCCAGTCTCAGACACGTGTGACATCTGAAATATGAGAGCTTCAGTATTTACTCACTGAGTTAGACAATATACCAAAGCCACATGAAAAAAATCGGACTAAGTAGGATGCGGTCATGAGCGGTGCTTTCAGTTATTGTACTTCCCACACATGTTTTGCGTAAAGACGTTTCGGGGCAATGAGGGGGAGTATTTGAACCAAGACTGAACCAGGTAGTGCAGCCTTGGATAGAACACAGAAAGGCCAACATGCAAAGTTTAAACGCACATATCATACATGTATCTTATTTCACTATTACGTGAGGCTGTCTGCACATTACAATATAGCCTAATATAGGCTATTCTTTTAATAATTGTGAGTTTAATTACATAAAACCGATATATTATAAACTGCATATTTTGTCTAAGATGTTTTTGTTTTACACATTTTTTTA